CCCTTCTTCTACCCCTCCTTGGCTGACTTGGTGTTCACCACTGCCTGGTGCTGACCACGCGGTTGTGTGAGGCTTAGAACACAGCGCCGCAAGGCTTTAAGTGTGTGGTGGGTTCACGGAAGACTAAAGTAGCCTTTTATTGCTTAAGGTTTCCAGCAGAGAAATAGAGGGAATCTCTGAGAGAAGGGGAGGGGCAGGGGAAGCAAGGGGAGAAGAAAGAGAGCAAAAGGGTGTGCTAATAGGAGGAAGGATGAGGGGGGTATGGGCTGCCCTGGCTGCTGTGTGATGCCACTTGCTTGTGTCCCCTCCCTCTCCTTCTCCCTTACATCCCCTAGGCGGGCCTTCTAACTCAGTGTTCACAGACAGCTCTGCCTGTCTTGTATGCTTGGATTCCACCTCTGAGGATAGTGATGAGCTTAGAGATGTACATCAAAGGCCTGCATTCACGCTCCACCCAAAACACTGTTCAGCCACACAGACCCCCTAATGACGGAACTTCCACCCAACCCCCAACCAAGCACAAGTGTGGACCCAACTCAGAACTCAGCTCTGGCTTCCCTCTAGGCAAGACAGAAGCAGCACAAGGCACTACTTTCCATCTGAACAGTTCTGAAGGAGGATAGGTGCAAGTATGTGTTCCTATGCTTGAGTTGGCACATGGGGAGAGAGAAGATAGGAGGGGAAAAGGAGACTGATTCAAAGTGAGAAAGACTTATGTTTTTATTTGGGCTATAAAATTAAAGGCAACCTGGTGAATAACAAAACAAAGGACAGTAAAATGACAATGTGAAGTGCAAAGAGACCTAAGACTAAAATCAAGGCACCCAGTTTGGAGTCTTGTCTTTGAAACTCATGATGCTTCCTTGGGTGAGTGATCCCTTCACTCTGTCCCAGCTCCTCAATGGCTGACTGCAAGGAGACTGAAGTCATGACCTTACAAGACCCTTCCATTTCTACTTACTGAAGATCTAGAAACATGCAACATCTAGGCAAAGAAGAAGTTGACCCTTAGCAAATAAAAATGGGCTGCCAAATGTCAAAGGCTCTCCAAAGATCGGTGCTCAAATGGGACTCCATGTCACATTGGTTCACTATTCCAATTTTAGTACTTTAGGGCCAATATGAATGTGGGTATCTATAAAGAGCTCCTCCTAGCAAAGAATTCAGTGCCTACTCATATATAAGGAATAACAAAGCATTTTTAATTAAACCTCCATACTGTGATTTCCAGCCCATGTGGCCAGAGAAATAAAGGGCATCCAATTAAAAGTGAGTTACGCTGAGTGTTTTAAATATCCTGGCCTCAATGTGCTACAATACCTGAAACATGGTAACCATTTATAATTTTGTCCACAGTGTACAGTTTCTACTTAAACTATTATTCTATTGTTTTCTCTCTCCAATCCCCAGTACTCTTTATTGCTGTTCAGTAAGGAATATGTGGTCAAAGTGCATAGTTCCTCCAAGGCTATATCTGTATCGTGAGTATGCAGAGATATGGAGGCCGATAACCTTAGAGTTACTGAGCTGATAAGACCCAAAAAGCTATCATTTCAATGCACAAAAAGAGAAACATGACTGAAGAAAAAATCAAAGTCACACAAAGTCATAGCAAGTAAGGGGTAGAATAAAGATCAACACCCAGATTGCTGGCCCCACATAGTCTGTTTGTCTACCATAACAATACCTAAGTAGTGAAGAAAGCATTAGACACTCTTTCCTGCATATGTATGCATTTTCTGGGTCTCTTCATTTGCATAAATGTCTACCAGGTTTAATGAATTAATAAACCAGCAAAAGAAACGTCCTGAAATCGGCTAAGGCTGCTGTATTAGCTTCTAGGGCTAGCATAATTTTGGCAGCTTAAAGCCTAGAAATGTATTGCCACAGTTCCAAAACCCACCAGCATAAATTAAGGTACTGGTAGGATCACACTTCTTCCAAAGGCCCTAAGCAAGAACTCTGCTTTGTCTCTCCTGGATCTTGGTGGCTCATCATGTGCACTTTCTGCTACAGAAGGACACCTCCAGTCTCTGCTTCAGTCCTCCAATGGTCTTCTCTGCATCACTGTGTGCCCAAGTCTCCCTCTATTTTCTCTTATAAAAGCACCATGAATCTAGGATGACTTCATCTTGAGACTTTAAAGAAATTACTTCTGCAAAGACTGTATCATCTAAATCAGGTCACATCCTGAGGTTATGGGCAGACATGAATTTTGGTGGAACATTCAATCCACTACAGTTACCAACCTTTCTTTTTATAGTAAACAAACAAAACATCTACGATACTATCATTAAAAATCGTAACTAATGATTTCTATCAATTGTGCAGATGAGCAGGATTTCCTGGAGCATTTCCACACAGGTCCATAGCATGCTTGTTTGCATCCACCCCCTCTGATGTCCTTACTCACCTTCCCCTGTCCACCCCTGCCCTTCTTCGCCTCCTTCTTCCCTAGTAGGATCTCTTCTATGTTCAGGTCCCCATATTTTGCAGGAGGGAGGGGTTTGTCTTATTGTTTTCCTTTGTTTGTGTTTACACATATGAGATACCATGCCATGTTTGTCTTTCTGTATCTGGCTTATTTCACATAACATGATGATCTCCAATTCCAACCATTTTCCAGAAAATTACATGATTTCATGTTTCTTCATGGTAGAATAATGCTCCATTGTGTATTATACACGCCAATTATATGTCTGTCACATTTTCTTTTCTTAATCCATTCATGTGTTGATGACCACTTAGGCTGGTTCCCTATCTTGGCAACTTTGACTACAGTCACAATAAACATGGGCATGTAGGCATCTGTTTTATACATGACTTCTTTTCCTTTGTGTATGTATATACCGAGAAGTGGCATAGCTGGATCATATAGTAGTTCTATGTTTAGTTTTTCAAGTGTATAAAGGATCTTTTCACTCTACATCCTCACCTTTGAAAACAAACAATAAGGTGTCTGGGTTGAAATGATGGGATCTCAATATAGTTTCATCTTGATTTTCTTGATATCCAAAGATGGTGCACATTTTTCATATATTTATTGTTCACTCATATTTCCATTTGAAGAAGTATCTGATCAGCTCTTTATCCCATATATTGATTGCATTATTTGTCTTTTTTTTTACTTTTTTGAGTTCTTTGTATATTCTGTATATTAATCCTGGCAGATGCATAGCTGACAAAGATTTCCTCCCATTCTGTAGTTTTCTCTTTACTCTGTTTCCTTAACTGCACAGAAGCTATTTGACACATGATAATCCCATTTGTTGATTCTTGCTCTCATTTCCTAGGCTACTGAAGTCCTATACAAAAAAACTTTGCCTATGCCAATATCTTGAAGTGTTCCTCCTATGTTTTTCTCTAGAATTTTCAGTTTTAGATCTTACCTTAAGCTATTTGATCTATTTCTGTTGAGTTTTGTGCAGAGTAAGAGACTGGGATCTAATTGCAATCTTGTTTATGGATATCCACTTTTTCCAGGACCATTTGTTAAAGAGACACTCTTTCCTCCAACATGTGTTGTCAGCACTTGTTCAGAATCAGATGGGTTTAGCTTCATGGGTTTATCCCCAGGCTCTCTATCCTACTTCATTTATCTACAGTCTGTTTGTAGCCAATACTATGCCATTGGGTTGCAATGGCTCTGCAGTACATTTTGAAGCTGTAATACAGCATTGTTATTTTTCCTCAGTATTGCTTTGGCTATTTGAAGTCTTTTGTGCTTCTACATGAATTTTAATGTTGGCTTTGGTAGTTCTGTGAACAATGTCATTGCTATTTGATAGAGATTATATTAAATTTGTACATTTATTTGAGAATATGGCCATTTTGAAAATATTAATTATGCAAATCCATCAACATAGGAAGTCTTTCCAGCCACTAGTGTCTTCTTCCATTTCATTTTTTCAGTGTTCTGAAGTTTTTATTGTAGATGCCTTTCACTTCCTTGGTTAGGCTGATTCATGGGTATTTTATTTTGTTTTTAAACTACCATGGACAGACTTATTTTCCTGACTCCCTCCTCAGGAAGATCATTTTAGGTGTATAGAAAAACGTACTGATTTTTGTATGTTGATTTTGTGTCCTGCTATTTTGCTGAATTTATCTTTTCTAAAGGTGTTTTGATACACTTTTTAGGGTCCTATAATCATGTAGTCTGCAAACAAGGATAATTTTAATTCCTCCCTTCCTAGTTGTATCTCCATTATTACTTTCTGTTTCTTGATTGTGCTGGCTAAAATTTGAAGTCCTACATTAAATAGGAGGAGAAAGAGTGTGCATTCCTGTCTTTTTCCTGATTTTAGAAAAAAAATGTTTACTTTTTCCCCATTCGGTGTGGTGTTAATGATGGGTTTTTCACATATACTGGTAACTTTTATGATGTTGAGGTACGATTCATCTATACTTAGTTTCTTTGAGGCTGTTATCAAGTGCATTGTGTCAAATGATTTTTCTGCATCTACTGAGATGATCATGTGATATTTATCCTGATTTTATTTAGGTGGCAAATTGCACTACTGACTTGCATATGCTGAAATATCCTTGTATCCATGGAATGAAGCTTACTTGATTATGGTGTATGTTTTCAATGTGTTGTTGAATTCAGAAATATTTTATTAAGGATTATTGCATCTAAGTTCATGAAGGATAATGTCTTTTTTGTGGAGATTGAGCAATTCACTTTTTTCTATAATTTCATTGAGAGACAAATAGCAATGAGGCAGTGTT